TATGTTCAAATACGAAATATGAAGTTAATCTTTAGGCATTTCTGGGTGTGTGTTTAGGTGGCAATCTGATATGTTTAAATGCAAATCGTTTTCACAATTTGCGATCATAACCATAATAATAATCATTTCGAATCAATTACAAAAATATGCTAAACTTGAAACGTGTCAATTTCAGCGACTTGTTTAACATTTCGAAATAAATTCTTGACAATAACCTTAAAGTCAACATTGCGTATGAGCAATACAATTATTTCTGGGTATTGGTTACAACTAGACATTTGTTGGCTTGATTATGAGGTGCAATATTTTAACTGGCACGCCAGCGGCAAAACGAATTGCATTTTATACAATTTACATTTTAATTGCCGCATATTGAATATCACAGCACATTTTAAATGGCGCTTTGTCTGATGATGTCGTCACGCTTTGCATTTATACCAATCCCCCAATTGAGAGTCGTTGCCAACAATCACAGCCTGATAAAGTTAAATGACTAATTGCATAATATGATAAGTATAATGGAAAATGTTGTTAAATGCTCACCAATCCCTAAATACTTGAGTTGAGCCACCAAAAAATGTTGGACTGCATCGTTTACCGACATTAATTTGAGTGCCTGAGGAAATAGACCATAGCCCGAACAGAAATATGAAAGAATTTGGTTTCAAAGCCAAACTGGATGCGAACCGTTATTCAAACTTAACTGAAAGCAGAAACCGTAGCGTTTGCGTAACACGGAGTGAACCAGTTTAGGAACCGCAATGGAACAAAAAAAGAACTGGTATCGATAAGCTAGTCAATAGGATCTCAGGCGAACTAAACCAGAAGCTGAACCGACTCGACGTAAACATGAACTAGAAACCTGAACCGAACCGGAGTTGCAGCACATTGGAAGTTCTTTGTAGAACTCATATAAGGAACAGGAATGGAACAAAAGAAAAAAGAACTGGTATAGATAAATATGTTAACACGATCTCAAGGTAATGTAGTCTGAGGCTGACTGTGAACTAAACCAGAAGCTGAACCGACTCGAAGTAAAACAGGAATTGGATCCTGAACCGAACCGGAGCTGTCGCCAATTGGAAGTTTTTTGTGAAGTTTGTGATTAACAGTATTGCTGTTGTTGGATAAATCTTATTTCCATCTGAAGCTGGTGTCAGCTCTTTTTGCCAATTACTCCAGTAAGTGTTGGCTTAATTAGACAAGTATGTGCGCTTCTTTTGTTGAATGTTTACAAACAAATCGCGCGACAATGTCGGAAGGTTCAACTCTGTTCAGCTCACGAGATTAGTCATTAACCATTTGATATGACATCAGCGGATCGTCAGCTGGACAAGAGCGCACCAAGACCAGTAGCTGCCCGCCCTGCCTGGGCTGGTGGACAAAGCGACTCACCTTCGCGTTTTGGTATGGGAGGGTTCAGCGCCGTTTTACCGGAACTGGGCTGTCAACGTCAACGTTGCGTGTTTCTGCTTTGTTTTGTTTGTTTAGTGTTTAGTTAAAATAAAACTAAGAAAAGAAAACAACAACAACAAATTTATGGGATTAATGGGCGAATGGTCGAGCACGGGGCACTCATATATGCAAATGTTTAAATATTGTTACAATTTGCTTAGGCAAAAAATTGTCTGTTTTCCTGTTTTTTTTTTTTTTTTTGGGTGACGTGTAAGCGAAATCTGGTTAACCTTAACAACAAGCTAAAGACAATACAAGTCTTTCATATTTACATTTTGTATATTTACAATCGCAGCAAATGTCTAAATTTCAGATCTGGTTGTATAGCCAGTTTATTGTCATGTGAATTTTTGATTATTATTTTTTCCAACTAATTCCATAATTTGCGCAGTCTAAATTTAAAAGCCGGACCAAATGCATTCAATCACATTACACGAAATGAAAACAAATTGCCATTCAACATAAATACGGAAGAGTTTCTAAAGGTATGCCATAAATAAAAGCTTCCCAGTTAAATTAATTTTCGATAACATTATGCAGCCTTAATAACTGTTTATCCTAGGATATTTTGATTATAAATTTGAAACGTGTCGCTTGATAAGCACCCAAAATAGCTTCTTAGCTCTATGTTGATACGACAGTATATGATATTATATGCCCATAAACTAGATAGCCGATATATAAAATGTTAAATACATAAAATATTTTTTGAGCCCATTTAGCAAGCATTGTATAACTAGACTCGAGCACCAAGATCAAGCTACTTTATAAGTTGCTCCGAGATTAGATAGAAAAAAAAAAAGAATGTTGAAAAGAAAATGGACAAATTTGCCTTGTCGAGGGCGTCAAAAATGTTTTCGTGTCTTATGACAAGCCCCGAGAACTGCATAAATTTCTGCAAGTTTGTCGTGTTTGTTACAAAATGACACAGAAAAGCTGTCAACAAGCAGCGAGAATTAACACCAACAGAACAAAATGCTCAGGTTCATGGTCAATGGATTCACGTAAACAGAAATTCAAATAACATGCATCGTGTAGAACGTGTGTGTATCTTTGAGATACAATATGCATACTGCAAAGTTGGCAGGCAGGCGCTAACATGCGAATAAACAGTTGCACACGCGAATCCAAAACCAAATAAATGATCAAATAAATTGTCAATATAACTGGAGAGCAGCTCTGATGGATTGTGATACAGCTAAGAATTAGCCTAGATTGTCGTGACTTGGCTCAGTTTGCCGGCCGCTTTATCATGCTAAATGCATCTACACCCACGAAATGCCAGCAGCAGTTATGCAGACCAGATCTTTCATCTTTCATCCCAACAGCAAGTTCAGTTGGCCACCAAACCCGGCCAGGAACATGATAGCCGCAAATAAGTAGCACAAACGGCTTGCAGTAAAACAAACTGGGCATTTTTTTGGCATTACTTTCTAGCGTGTGCTCTATGAAAAATGCGAGTAGATTTCGGGATAAAAATACAAATGGTAGCTGAAAGTAAACTTTCGAAAGCCCTGTTATTTATGTTAAGCCCGTAATATTGAGCGCTAGTCCCTGGTTTTAATTTGAATCCAAATTCAACTATGCCGTTTACTGCAGCACAACAGTAAAACTGGTAAGCAAACCATAAACCTAACCTAACACAGACATCTCTCGTTCTCACCTGTATTTGCGGTTACCTGTAGTCAGTCGCTTGCCTCATAAAATTCGTATACTCAACACCTCTATTAAAATGCACTGAGTGTGCGGACCTGTGTGTGTGTGTGTGTGTGTGTGTGTGTGTGATTAACCGCAATTCAATCAAATTCACAAGCTGTCTTATTAAATTTGATATTTGATGCTGATTTCCTGCCCCGCATCGAATATCCAATTGTCAATGCTCATTGCTCCAGTTTTAAATTGCGAAAATTATCGCCTAACTGTTTTTAGTTTAGGGAACTAGTTCAATTAAACTGCTGAGCTGCCAGCCTAATTGAGATCCTGTCGCAGGGCTGCCACCTAGTTACTTTTGGCCAATAAAAAGGTTAAATGTTAATCAATTGAAAAATGTAATTGAGCTGCTAATGAAACACCTGTCAGCTGCCGTTGACACTTACCTGTCCGAAACAACTGAATTGACAATAAACGTTGCACTAAATGTGTTCTCAATGATTTAAAAGCGAACGTGACAAAATTTAAGCGCCTTTTGATTCAAGCAGTCGCGCCTGCGCGTACACACACACACACGCACACACGCAAACAGAGTCTACGCACACACACACAAACACAAGTTGCAGTCAATAAAAATGAGCATTAAAAGCTTAAGCCGCACGCGCGTTTGCTGTCGCGACAGATTTTCAACTGAGACTTGGAGATCCGAGACACTAAAACTTGGAGCCGTTGCCGGCTGGCGGCGACGCTTGTTAACGGCGACTGCAGCAGCAGCAGCAGAGGCAGCAGCAGCGGCAGCGGCCGCCACTTTTCGCTGAGCAAACCAAATGTTAAGAGCAGAACTTGCGCCACATGCAGCCAACATGCAAATAAACAAGCGAACAACAACAACAAAAACTCCACGTTCAAAATGAAGCCTGGACTGAGCATAGGCGCAGAATTAGGCAGCAGCAACAACAGCAAACACTTCGTGCGGATGACGCAATATGAACTGCAAGGACCCAGCCTTGAAATCCTTAATTGCCAGCTCTGTATGCATGTGTACATATATATAAAACTGATGTTTATTGTCTCGGCAAACTGTCTCTCAGTCATTTGTGTCAAAAACGCGTTTAACAACAGAAAAAACAACAAAAAAAAAACATTTAAAAAGGCAACCAACAATGAACACAATTACAAGTCAAAGTCAACGAGTGAAGGAGGCAGCTGCTGCTCTAAAATGCCTGTGTGGGTGCCACTGCAACCTAACAGACACATTTATGCACATACACACGACCGACTGACGCACTGGCAATACTTGAACCTGACATTCAGAATATATCGCGCGCACACACACACACACACTCACACACACACGCACGCACGCTCACTGAACACTCGCAAGCATAAAGTGTTAGCACTCCAAGTCCAAGTGATGCCAAATCGATGTTGATCGTCAAGCGGCAATTGAAACAAATATGAATGCAACTGCGCACAAAGCTAACTAAAACATACCCATTAAACTTGATCAATACTATAAAAAGTTAAGTGCATCAAGCATATTCTTAACAGCTCCTGGTTTGCACAAAATCAACTCAATCTGGCAACTTTAAAACAGGCCATGTTTTGATTGGTAACTGCAACTGCCGTATGCCATAAACAAATCGATCTGGCTACTTTAAAACTGGCCAAGTTTAAATTGATGACCATACTCTACCACATACTCCCTTTTATAGGGTATTCAGCACGCACCGCTACAACTAATTGTTATATACTGATGTTTGAGTGTTTGATGCGTTTTAAATTGAAGTCAATTTTTTCAAATATTTGCATTTTGTGTGAGAACAGGAATTCCCATAAATATCGGTACATACAAACATGCATTGAATGGCAATAAATAATACGGGTAATGTCAATTTTATTATGGATTTCTGAAAATTCGTAAAATATGCACTTTTCAATTAATTGAAGTGGAGAAATCATTTAGCAAGTTGTCAACTTGAACAATTTAAATATATAACATGCAATCGTTGCATAACATTCAGATTCAATTTACCATTAACATTGATATTAACATTTACATTTCAATCAACATTAACATTTACAGCAGGAGTTAGCCGTGAAATTTGAAAAACATAATGGGTGCAACTTTTTTTAGATAATCTCTTTTATTATTGTTGGAGCATGTTACGCAACGAGCTCAAATTAATGTTTTTTTTATCTATCGTAGCTTTTTAGAGCTCGACGCTCAGTTGTCGCATAGCTTGGGTCCGTCGCCAATGCAACCGGCATAGGCCATCAGATGGGGAATCGTGCTCTGTTGCATTACACCACTGAAAAGATGACTCTGTGGCCCAGTAGCAAAAATGCCAACATCATCACCGGAATGCACACCAATATTGCTAGTTATATAACTGGGGAAGACGAAAGCTGAGGGAAAAAGTAATTAAATAAGAGTTTCAGATCTATCTCCAATTTTGATCTACTGTACTTACAGGGATCATCAATTTTGTCTTCCAGAGACTCGCGCTTTCCATTCTCATCCAAATACGGATTTGGGCCAACCGCATAGTTCAAGGTGGCATATTTGACGCCATTGATATCGGTATCGTGTTGATTAAGTCCCAGAATATTGGTGCCGCGACCCGGATAGCCGGAGATGGAAAGTGGATGGGCATGATCGGAAGTGACCACAATCAAAGTTTCATCGGGATTCGTCATACCAAGCGCTGTCTCGACAGCCTTGGATAGCTCGTGCACCTCGTCAAGTCCCATTTGGGGTAAGTTATAATGATTGCCGTAATCCACTAGCCCGCCCTCGATGAACAGGAAGTAGCCCTCATCATTTTGGCTGACCACCTCAATGGCCTTCTTGGTCATCTCCTCCAATGTGGGCTTCTGTGCCGGATCGGCCAGTTTATGAAAGTCCATGACACCAGAATTGAAAAGACCTATCAGTCTGGGTATCCGCTTGGCATCCACACTGAGCAGCTGATTGCGATTGTAGGCTAGTGCTCCTTCCGGATGCAATGATTGCCATTTAGAGAGCAGATTGACGCCATCAGAGCGCTCGCCCTTGTTACCGAACTTATCCGTAATGGATTGGGGCAGAAATTTGCCCATGCCGCCGCCAAGCATAACATCAAAATTCTTGCCAGGCTCCTGCGTTATTAGTTGCGTAGCAATGTCCGTGCAAGGACCATTCTGATTCTCGCCATATGTAACAATGTCCGTGTCCGACTCAAAGAAGCGATTTGTGGAGTGCGCATAGGCACCGGAAGGACTAGCATGGGTTAATGTAGTGGTGGTCACAATACCACTTGCCTTGCCAGCTGCCTGTGCCCAGGCGGCAATCGAGCTGACATGATTGGCGGGATCCTCACTGCCGCTGCAGTTGTTGAAGTTAACGTTGGCGGTGACACCAAGGGCAACAATATTGGTCTTGACGCCACACAAATAGGCGGTCGCAGTGCAGGCAGAATCCGGTACTTGGGCATTGGAGCAGTAGGTCTGTCGGAATGGAGAGATATTTAGTTAGAAGACTACACTCTGTAACACTTCAGTTGCCTTTTCTACAGAACATGTGCTTACAATTCCCAAATGGTTAAACTGAACTGCTTCTTGGATGCTTACCCTGCTCAAGCCAGTGTAGGGGAACTTCTCAAAACTCAGTGCATCCTCCTCGCCAGTGTTGCCCTTGAGTTGACCCTTTAAAATTCTGGCCGCTGCCAATGTAGTCAAAGACATGCCATCGCCCAGGAACATTATCAAATTCTTGGCCTTCCTTTTGTCGACCTGTGGCAAGGCCAAGCGCTTGGCTATTTCTTCATTGGCCAAGTCGTACCAGAACTGTGCAGCCTTCTCCTCGGGCGGCGTATATTTGTTCTTGCCCAAGGCATTCGGATCAATTAGATTCACATCTCTGGCCTTTGCCACAGAAGATCTGCCAATCAACTGATCCAGATTGTGGACTTCGTTCACTGCAAGAAGTGGATGTATCCTTGGCTTGAAGAGGATTTCCTTCCACTTAGTACTTACTGTCCAAGGCTGCCGACCAGGTTGTGGCCACAAGGGCGCTAAGCAGCACTAGTGCCACGTAGAGAATCGACATGATTGTGAGTTCCTTCTGAGTTCCTCTCCGACTGACGCTTAGTCTGGCCATATTCCCAGGTATTTATACCTTATATTGAACGTGCTGCCCGCGTGTCTAATCTTAATTACTAAATTACTCCGTTTTACCAGCCTCATTTCGGTTATCATTTAAATCTACTGGCTTTTTGGTACTTGTCATTTTATTGGCTGTAGAATATGATATGACTGAATGTATTTTTAATTTTGGACCAAGGAATCATGTTCGCCTCAAGTGGATAGTTCATCGTAGTGGGATGAGAGGGAGCAAACTAGTATGGAGAAAAGTACGCTTAGATAAGGGAAAATAATTATTATCTAAGGCAGATATTATCTAGCTTTGTCAGGGCAAAGGTTTTTATCTTTTGTGCTTGTTTCCTGCACGTGAGAGAATTTTTATTATCCCTAACTAGCTCGAAACAAAGAGTTCATCTATGACAAAGTGTGTATCTATGTATCCATTTATACATATGTATGTGTGTATGTTCATTTATAGAAAAAGCAGACCAATTTTATCTATTACTGGGTCACAAATTAAGGAAACATATTTTAATGCCCTACTCTTCGATTCTCATAAATTCAAGTAAGCCAAAAGGTATTTATGTTTTGATTGTGTTTCATTACAAGAGCTCTTGCGCTCTATCTCTGTCTCTCTCTCTCTTTCTCTCTCTCTCTCTCTCTCTCTCTCTCTCTCTCTCTCTATCTCTCCTTCCCTCTCTTTTTGTATCTCTGTTTCTCTCATTTTATTCTTCAACTACTATTTTTCATACTTAAAATATGTCGCCCTTTTACAAAAAGATAAATAAATAAGTACTAAAGCAATTCAGACGCGGCACGTGTTATTATCTCCTACCCAGGGCACGTGCTATTATCTCTCCAGATCAAGCATCTCATGTTTAATACGTACTATATATGAAATCCCATAAGTATATAAAGTCATAAACGAATTATTAACCAAAGTCTGTCGCGCCCCTGATTTTCAAATAAATTTATCTTGTTATCTTTTGTTTTATGTTCATGCTGCCAGACAATCTGCAAATAGTCAGTCACCATATTTTTAAACAATAGCCTGCTTTTAGGATGTTAAAAAAAGTGTCTATGTTCTTACCAGTAAACCTTTTATTGGTGCTAAATAAATAAAATTAAATACAAAGGCTACAAAGGCTGCTGTTCCATACAATTTCCCTAAATGTTGCAACAATATCCCATTGTGTTAAGGCTGTTATTTAACATACTTGACAGTTCTTTTTAGTTAATATATATGCCCATTCGTCATATTTTTTGCACAGTAAAATGAAATCTTGTTCAGTTTACCTTTGCTTGGCGCTTTGCGTACTCCAGGCATACACTCAAACTATGAGCTTCTGTCGTGGTCGTCCAGGTAAACAATGAATGGTTAATTGTGACAATTTAAAAACTGTAAACATTTAACGAATTGACAACTTGCAGTTTTCCAGAGACAGCTCTGGCGGCAAAAATGTTGGTTACGGTAAATATTCCCGCTGCACTCTGTGGGCCATGGACAGAATGTGGTTTTACGATCACCTCAGTAAATCTTGTTATATGCTAAACTATCGAGGATGCGGTGGTAACACAAATCGATACTGCTCTGAGGCAGATTGCCTCAGAAAATGTAAGCATTAAAGATTACAAAATTATCTTCAATCTTTTGATTGTATGTATTAATATTTACAACATAGAAAACACCGTTACCTTTCATAACATTGCAAAACATCCCTGGCTCATGAGTAAATGTAATGACATCGATAATTCAGATGACGTTTTTGAATATTTTAATCGATGAATTTAAAAACATATGCATCTGTTAAGTTTCTGCTACCGATCTGTGTTAAGAAACTCGCCACTTTTCATTTGAAATTCAGCCTAAGCTTTAGCTTTATATTCAATAGTTTTGTGTAAATTGTATACAAAAAACTTATTGCTATCAATTATTTGAAATGCAGGCAACGACTTACGATAGTTTTACTGAAACAATTGATACTCACTGTTAATAGCATATTTGAAAATGTTAACTTAACAGAAAAACTAACAGAGCTCGATGTCAAAGTGAAGAAGAAGAGCAATTTTCATTTAAGAAACATATAAGGGGCAAAATCTAAAACGTAAATATGTCGTACGTTTTAAATAACGCAATTCGTCGCCAAATAAGCGGTATTGCCGCCAGGAATATGTCCGGCACTGCCGCCGTGGCTGGAGAACATTCGGGTAACTATCACCATAATCGACAATATCCTCATAGTTAGGTTAAGGTTATATAATTTGATGTGTTTGTGCCAAAACTTTAAAATCTCTGAAGACGTTAGCTTTAATAAGAAGACTTTTTCAGGTGGTTACAAGGTCTGGAAGCGTCTGTCCTTCTTCGTGGCCATGCCAGCTGTCGGTCTGTGCATGCTAAACGCTTACCTGAAGCACCAGGAGGAGCACGACCATCCTCGTCAGGAATTCGTGAAGTACGATTACCTGCGCCGCCGTGAGAAGCGCTTCCCCTGGGGCGAGGGCAACAAGAGCCTGTTCCACAACCCCCACGTTAATGCCCTGCCCGATGGCTATGAGCACTAAGCGTCTACCCCACTCTTTGTAAAGGTGTTGCAGTTGTTGGCAACTCGCCTTCACTGCCTTAATCACACTCAATGTATTTAGCATATTGTAAGCTGTAATTAATGTGGAAATACACACAAACCCAAACACATTCGACAAACTTGACTACAAATAAAGAGTGACAAACTGCAGCTAATCAATGGTTAGGAATCATCGATTCGATTCTGATAGCTGCACAACAAAAAAACAACTAATCATTGTCGAATACCACATACCCTTGGAGATGTATGGAGGGTGTGCCGCTTATTTTAATACCTGACAATGTTTTCATGCAAAACTTAAATGCTCTTATGGAAGCTCTAATGTCGTCAGACCTTCGGCCAGGCAGATGAACATCCCAGAACCGAGGCAGTCTAGAATGCGTATTGATCTCCCCGCAGCCAAGATTGAACAGGCAGGTAAGTACTTTACACACTTTTAAATTTAATAAGAATTAAGTTTTTAATACATTTTTATAATACCGGCACATTTATTAAACCAATGATATACAGGCGGAGCACGACTTTACAAGCTGTTTTATAAACATGCCCAATTGAAATAAAGGGTTAATTGTTTAAACAAACGCTTCAAAACACCAACTTAGTTATGAATATATTAATTCGGCGTAAATTCATATACTTGTGTGGTGTTGATTTTGTCAATTCTTAAATGTATCATAAACAGAAACATTTCGACATTTGCAAAATGAACAATTTACAAATTCTGTTAACTATCATAAAAGCAGCTTGTCCAGGTGTCCAACGGTACTAAGGCTCCGAGATGTCATCTTAGTTTCAAATCTACTTGGTGCTCTGATGCTTAGAATTGGCGGCCTTAGCGTTCCTTGGCTTGCTGCTCGGTTTGGCTTGGTCTGGAATAACCTTCTTTGTCAATCTTTTACCAGAATCGCTTGGCTTCTCAGTTTTTTCTTTGGTATCTTGCCTGCGCGTCTGGCGTTTGCTTTCCGGTGAGACGGACGCAGCGGCGGGTGACTTTGATGTTCGGGCTCTTTTTAAATTTTCGGGTGAAACTGGCTCCTCTTTAATTACCTTGGGTTTCGACTCTTGTTTGATTTTGTCGCTTTCCTCCGATTTAGGAACCGGATTGAGTTTGCGTACTTTTGCTTGCGTTGGCGATGCAGATTTATTTGATGGCGACTCTGACTCCTCGCCTAGCAATTCCTCCATTAATTCGGACTCCTCGGCGACATCCTCCTCTTTGCTGACTCCCTGCTCATATTCGCTTTCATTCTGATAGGGCACCATGTCCACCACATGGTCGTCTTCGATGTGTTTCTGCAATTGGCTCGAGCTGAGGAAAATAAAATCACAAAACTCGCACGCGTGTCGTTCGCTCTTCTTGTGCGCCTCCATGTGCGGCTCCAGGCTGCCCAAGTCAGCGATGCTCGCCTGACACAGTGGACAGACTAGCGATATGCCCGCATGAATGGCCGAGTGATCCACCAGACTGTCATAAGTTTGGTGCGTATCCTTGCAAATGCTGCACGTGAACGAGGTCGCCGGCGCCTGCTTGTGCATGCGCAAATGCCGCGATAAATGATGTGACAGCAGATACGACTTGGAGCAGTACTTGCAGGGATAGACGCGCTTGCCGGCGTGCGCAACCAGGTGACGGGCCAACTTGCCTGCGGTCACAAAGCTCCGGCTGCAGTACTGGCAAGAGAATGGTAGATTTGTGCTATGTATGACCTGTGCAAAGAACAAACAGAAAGTTACATCTCAGCTCAGTCTCAGTCGATCGATAACGACTCACCTCGTGGCGTTCCAGACCCTGCTTGAAGGCAAACGCTTTCTGGCATACGCCGCACTGGAAAGGCCGCTTTTTGGTATGGCGTTCGGCATGCTTTTCCATCTCCTTGCGCGAAATAAACGGCTTCTCGCAGTAAAGGCAAATAAACTTGGGCACATCCGTGTGAGTTCGCTCGTGGCGATGCAGCAGGGCGCGACGCGTGAAAGCCTTCTCGCAGACGCTGCACTTGTAGGGACGCTCGCCCGTGTGTATAAAGTTGTGCTTCTGCAGATCGTACTTGGAGAAAAAGCTCTTGTCGCACTCCGGGCACTGAAAGCTACGCGTACGTGTGTGGTTCACAACATGTATGTCGAGCAGCTGCATCAGTGGAAATGAGCGATCGCAATGTGGACACGGAAAGACGTTAGTCGCCACGGGCGCAGCATTTTTAATTGGATCCGCGGACGCATCAACTGCATCGGGATCAAGTATTTCCGTAACCAGCGCCACATTTCCGTCCTCGTAGTGCTTTATCTGAGGCGTGGCTAGGCGTGGTTCCACGGTGGTGCTGGCACCTTTGTTAAGCAGTCGCATCGACGATTTGTTAAGTACTTTTGGTTTGCCAGCCGAAGGCGTCGTTACAGGTGCTGGCGTTATGTTGTCCAGATCATCCAGTTCTTCAGCCATATCGGCTAACAAATTTTGCACATCGTCCATGGATAGTTCCTGGTTGTTCTCCACTTTCATCTGATATGACTTTGAGGGTTGGCGTTTTGCGGGAGATCCCCTTGGCGGAATCGGCGGCTCAGCAGAGCTCACTGCACCCGTATTGAGTAGCTTTTTGGTCAGCGAACTAGTTTCCAATACCTGTACGCTTTCAATTTGCACATTATTGGACTTGGCCATGGAATTGAGCAGTTTTTTGGGCTGCGCTTCGGCATGTTCCTTCTTGACTGCAACCGTTTGATTAGCCACCAGCGGGGCACGCGGCTTCTCCAGCGGCTCTGGCCATTTGCCAGTAAGCGGATATTGGCGGAGTAGAGTCTCCGCATTTTTACACATCTGTTTAAAACGGTAACAGTGCTCGAAGAGCAGACGACAGTCCAGGCAGATAAAGCTGGGCATTCCATCATTGCTCTGGACCTGTTTAAAGTAACAAAATAAATACGTTTAGTTGTGAATGGTCTGACAAATTTATATGGCAACACTGTGCATGCGCTCTGGCAACGCAGCGACAAGAGTGGCAACGCTGTGTGCATTCATTTGGCGGCAAGCGGTGCACAACTACAAATGCAATCTCGCAGTTTGTTTTCGTGACCGTGCGAAGCACGCTTTACTCCGCTCTCGTTAATTGATTAAAACACGGTTAACCATAAAAGGATATTTTTACTATTTTGAAACAAATGTAATCTGTTAATATTGCTTACGTGGCTAATCACATTAGCAAAAATCAAGCAAAACAGTTGTTCACAGTACTGAAATCAGTTTAGTAAAAAACCAACGCACAAAACACAATCAAAGTGCTGAGACCTGTGGAAAGGGCGCAACAATTGCAGCCGAGGGCAGCAAAACGAACAAAAGGCAGGCAACAAGGAGAAACGCAAACAAGAGCGAGTGCAAGGAGAAAGAGAGAGAGAGAGAGCGCAAACAAGTAAAATGACGGACGAATGCAAAATAAGAAGCTTTGGTTCTCACAGCGGCAAAATAAACAACGATGCAGATATCACCGATGCGCAAGGAGAAGCGGGTGCAAGAGGTGGCAGTGCATCCAACGCAGTCGCGCCGTAAGTGCACTTTTTGTTCCCTTTAACAATTGAATATGGATAAAACAAGGGTATACTAGTTTTATGTGCTGTCTTGTTTAAATGCTCGGATCTCAAAGATAACAGGAGTTTGACACTTGAAATTTGCATATACATTTACATATATATATGTACATGTATATGTACATGTACATGCATATGCATATGTATATGTATATGATTAAAAGTTTTAGTCATACCATTTGCGGGTGATTTTGCGATAAACGAAATCGAACAATCGTATATAGGACCAATTGTTAATTGCACTTTTGTTGTTATCTTTTGCTGATATTAGACCCGTTAACAAGTATGTAGCCCGTATGCCCACCGATCGCTATGCCACAGAGTATAATATGAATCACAAGCATCGCGGACTGGCATTGATTTTCAATCACGAATTCTTTAACATACCCTCGCTGAAGGCACGCGCCGGCACAAATGTGGACTGCGAGGAACTGCGCAAGGCTCTAAAGCGTCTGGATTTCGATGTGACTGTGCACAAGGATTGCAAGCTGGGCGACATACTCGAGCATATCAGGAAGGCCGCCGCGCAGGATCACAGCGACAACGATTGCATAGCCATTGCCATATTGTCGCATGGCGAACATGGCTACCTCTATGCGAATGATGTGCAGTACAAGCTGGACAACATATGGCATTATTTGACAGCCAACAATTGCCCCACGTTGGCAGGTAAACCGAAATTGTTTTTCATACAGGCCTGTCAGGGCGACAGATTGGACTCGGGCGTAACGCTGGAAAAGAACGTAACTGAGACGGATGGCGATTCGTCAACGAGCTACAAAATACCCATTCATGCCGATTTTCTATTCTCATATTCAACGATTCCAGGTGGATTAGATTTTGTTTATTTTTATATGTTTTACACTAACGCAATCTTTTGTGCAGGATACTATTCCTGGCGCAACACTGAAAAGGGCTCATGGTTCATACAGGCGCTCATCCAAGAGCTAAACGAAAACGGCAAAGTCTACAGTATGCTGAAATTGCTCACTTTTGTTAGCCAACGTGTGGCTGTGGATTTCGAGTCGAACGTGCCATCTACTCCGATCATGGATCGTCAGAAGCAAATACCGTGTGTGACGTCAATGCTAACTCGCATTCTGCGCTTTACGGACAAACACCCTACTAGCCAGGCAGGCTAGCTAGTTATCAGCTATCTTGTTTAATATAATATTATTCATGCTAGCCTCATTCTGGATTCCATTTGACTTTAAGTTTACTATCGACAACGCAATTATTGGGCACAAACAAATCCCAAAATACTCTTCCATTATTAATCACCAAAACTTTAGTAGATTAAGAAATCGACAAACATATGGATTAGATAAGAGCCACAGCATTATATATTTGATAAACACATATATAAATAAATATGAAATCCCCGCTGAAGAAAAAATAATTTCAAATGCGAGCGCCCAATTGCCAGCGATCTGGCAGCATTGTGCCACTTTGCGCTTGTGTATGTGCGTTTTTGTACAGTTGTCGCCATATTGATAAATTATTATTATAACACATTTGCAATTAGTTTATACCACTCTTTGCATTGTGCAGCTAATATGTAAGCTGCGAAAATAATAAGGCCGGCCGTTGGTAGTAGTTACTGTGTAAATAAGCGCGCCAAATCAGTTAGCGAAGACGCCAACGCAGCTATTTAGAAACCAACCAGCGATGACAAATATCTTAGCCAAGTTCGTGCTTGTGCATCTTGACGCTAATAGATGACTTAGTGTAACCTAGAACCAAATCTCGACTTACCTCTATGGATGTTATGGCCATTATTTGCAGCGGCAGCGACGCGGTTGACTTTATGCGTGTGTTTTCTACGTAAATTGAGGCAAGTTTGCTATGTTGCACCAGACAGAAGCGGCAGATTTCCTTTTTGCGTAATTCGGCCTCGCGCACAATGCTTATGTCAGCCATCTTTAAAATCGTATTACTTTTTACTCAACGAGTCAATTAAAACGCGTCCTAGGTAATAAGTTTTAATTATTTTGTTGTAAACAATCAAAAAAAAAAAAAGAAAGACACAAACACAATGCCTTGCTTCAATACACGAACCCCGTATAGAGCTGCCACACTTCAGATAACCGAGGCCATTTTGTTGGTGTTGCCACTCATCTGTCAAAACGTTGCTACCTAGTTGCACAACGAATGCACTAAATATGACGCTCTCATTTTAATATACAAGCAAAAAGATAATGATTTTGTGATTTTCATTTCTGCATGACCCCATAGACAGTTCTCGCAACTGTCTTCACCAAATCAAACAAAAAAAAAAAAAAATTTCTGCATGTGCATCAAAGAAAATGGATACTCATATTGCTGCAATACCATGCTAGATTAGCTTGTTTGTAAGAGACTGCTCTATACATGTTAATCTATATATGTATGTGTGAATCAGTTAATAGTTTTTCTTGCCTGGGCAATTCACGCTCATTGTTTTTGTATGCATATACGCACAAAGTAAACACATTGAATAAAATACATTAGAGCAGGTAGACAGACGTTAACTCAGGTAGTAGCATAGCAATGGAGTTACCTGCAGACCTTTAAAACTAATTAAGAAGCATGAAACCTTCTAGGTCTTCTATATAATCTTTAAAATTTGCCTTGGATTAGTTCTAGATTGCACTTTAGTGTTGTCACCAGTGTTGATTTAGTGTTTTTTTGTATCCTAATAACAACCAACACTGCCTATCGCCATTTTGTGCTCAGAAAGCAAATTAAGGTATTTCTGAATGGATCGGATATTTAATATTGATTGATTGACTTGGATCTCCAATTGGGAGACGGCGCACGCAACTTATTTTAAATTTGTTAACTAATATTGAATGAACAAACCGAATTAGAGAATATGTTTTATTTTGGCATGTGCATCAGTCCATTAGATCAACATCTCGGAGACGGGCTTGCGTTTGCTCGCCAATATCAAAGATAACATGCTGCTGCAGGAGCTCGCGCGGCTCATATTTAAGCGACTCTTCGTAGGCATATTGAATGCTCGTATCATACAACATTAGCTTGCATTTGGCCAGCGCCAGAATGCAGTTGCGCAGGCGTGCGATGACCTCGCGATCGTTGCGCGGCACAACTTCGTTCAGATTCTGGGCGAAGCCACCCTCGCCGCCCTCCTGCTCCTCGGACTTTGTGGGCGATATCCAGATGTAGCCGTTGTTGCCCAGTATAACTGAGGCACCGCATGGCAGATTGTGGAAGTGCATCTTTCGTCTCTTGACCAGCGCAGGAAAAACTTTGACCAGTATACCCTGGGATAGTTTGCCATATTTTAAGCTGCGGGTGTATAGCGACAATGTGCTCTCCTCAAAGACATTCTGCAAGGACAGTACAGTTAGTTTCAAGCCACAGTACTTTGATTTAGTCATGATTTAACCTGGACTTCGGCGGATATCAAATCTCCCTCGTCCAGATAGCGTCTCATCATCTGTTCATCCTCCGCAGAGCGTCGCCTTAGCTCACCGCCTGGCAGATTAACTGAGGAGAGCAGCAGCACCGAATCCAGGCGCGAGTTTGTGTCGACACGCCAACGTTTTTGTCCCACTTCAAGGACACGGGCCACCACTACATCGCCGATCTCACCCACGTAACGACTCTTGAGCGGTCGCACCGATATCAATTTGTTCACCTTCTCAATCACGCCCGCCACAGATGCTTTGATGTTCTCATCTTCGACGAAGGTGCCGTGGCCGCGCATGAAGCCCGCTTCCGGCATTAGGACCTCGCCGGGCGTATAAATGCGGGGTAATTGCTCTTGGTTTTCGGCCAGCGCATTCCAGTCAACGCGATCCAGCGCCAGGTCTATCATTGCGTTTGTTGACATCCTTTCCAGAGCGCAAAGTCTTCCTCTTCTGTTCCAATGCGCTCGCGCCTCTTCTTCTTCAGTTCACAATGCGTGTTTCGAACGGCTTTGATTGTCTGTAAACTTAACATTTTAAGAAACTTAACATACAGTTATCGATAGGTCGATAGCGATAACAAATGCAATTTGCGCAGCTGATTGACGATAAGTTCGTCAGCAAGCAGCTGCTTGTGTATAAAAAATATACACTATGGACCAGCCCGATGATCATTTTCGCTATATACACAGTTCCTCGCTGCACGAACGTGTCCAAATCAAGGTGTAAGTACTAGTGTAATGCAACTGCTAGGACGCCTACTAATTTTTTGTTTTGGTTTCTCCGCAGCGGCACCCTTGAGGGCAAGAAACGCCAGCCAGATTATGAGAAACTGCTCGATGATCCCATACTCCGCTTCTCGGGCCTCTATTCCGAGGAGTACCCCTCGTTCCAAGTTCGGCTGCAAGTTTACAACGATGGACGCCCCTATTGCTTGCCCGTGCACAATTCGTATAAGGCCTTCGGCAAACGCTGGAGCTGGAACGAATGGGTGACGTTGCCTTTGTTATTCTCCGACTTACCACGCAGCGCCATGCTGGTGCTGACCATACTCGACTGCTCAGGAGCTGGCCAAACAACGGTTATTGGCGGCACGGCAATCTCCATGTTTGGCAAGAACGGCATGTTCCGCCAGGGCATGTACGACTTGCGTGTCTGGCTAGGCGTAGAGGGCGATGGCAACTTTCCGAGCAAAACCCCTGGCAAGGGCAAGGAATCCTCCAAATCGCAGATGCAGCGACTTGGCAAACTGGCCAAAAAGCATCGCAACGGTCAGGTGCAAAAGGTCGACTGGCTGGATCGTTTGACATTCCGTGAAATCGAGGTGATTAACGAGCGCGAGAAACGCATGTCCGACTATATGTTTCTCATGATTGAGTTCCCCACCATCATCGTGGACGACATGTACAACGTAAGTGGACTGAGAACATTTTTTACGATTTAGTTATGCTCACGCCTTCAACTATTTCACAGTATTCAGTTGTCTATTTTGAGCCAGAAGTGGACAACAAGTATAAATTGCCGGCCAAACCCAAGCTGGTTCTGGTCCCGGACTCGGAAATTCAAATGGTGAGCAATTATCTGAAGCAACTACTATATGCCTTTATTAATTTGATTTTTCTTTGTGCAGGAGAATCTGGTGGAGCGCAAACATCATCGTTTGGCACGTTCGGAGCGCTCTGGCATTTCAGATCGGGAAGCCAAACCGACAACAATGTACGTATTTAGTTAAATCTAGATGGAAGCTAAAACTAATGGTATATACTTTCAGCATTCGGGATCAATTGCACAAAATAGTGTGCTATCCGCCCACTTATGTGCTGAGCAACGAGGAGCAGGACTTGGTTTGGAAGTTCCGTTTCTACTTGTCATCGCATAAAAAGGCGCTCACAAAGTTTCTGAAATGCATCAATTGGAAACTGAACGATGAGGTCAACCAAGCGCTTTGGATGCTCGCCAATTGGGCGCCCATGGATGTGGAGGATGCACTGGAACTGCTCAGTCCAACATTCAGACACCCGGAGGTGCGCAAATATGCCATAAGTCGTCTGGCACAGGCACCTGACGAAGATCTCCTGCTGTATCTGCTGCAACTGGTGCAGGCGCTCAAATATGAGGATATCCGCATCATCATACAGCTGCACAAGTTCAACATACCCGAGCCAGAGCGCGACGTGGTGCGCTCGCTGCTGGACGAGAATGACTCTCTGCTAGACCAGAGCAGCATTTCCGATTTGAGCACTGCGAGCAGCGCCCTGCATGCCTCGGTCATACCTGCCAATCAGCGTGCTGCACTGGCCGCCGGTAAGGTTGAGAATTCTACCATGGCGAGCAGTGTGAGTGCGCCGGCAATCAGGGCCAGCACTCCAGCACTGAGGATGGAGCGCGCTGATGCTGCCGATACAAGCGCCGGCTCGCTGGCCACCCAGTCCAACTCGCATACACCGCTTCTGGGCCAGACTGGTGTGCCCAATCTGTGCCAGTTCCTAATACAGCGCGCTTGTAAGAACGCCACGCTGGCCAACTATTTGTACTGGTATTTGTCCATCGAGGTGGAGGATGTGGCGTCGGTGCATAAACAGGATCAGCGGACGCACGACATGTACGCCATGGTCCTCAATATATTCCTCAAGGAGCTCTATGACGGTGCGTAGATTTTATGTTCAACAATCCCGCTTTCTTATAACCATTTCTTACACCCGCAGGTGACTTTCATTTGCGCGGCATTTCCTATAATCTGCGCAAGCAGCAGTGCTTCATTGACGAGCTGGTCAAGTTGGTTAAGCTGGTGGCCAAGGAGCCGGGCAATCGCAACAAGAAAACGGAAAAGTTCCAAAAGCTGCTGGCCGAGCAGACCATGTTCAAGGTGAACTTTACCAACTTTGAGCCCATACCATTCCCCCTGGATCCGGAGATCTATATAACTAAAATAATACCACAGCGCACGTCGCTTTTCAAGAGCGCCCTCATGCCAGCCAAGTAAGTAGATTGCTGCATAGATTGCCAACTAAAAATAATCTTTATCCGGTTACAGGCTTACCTTTGTCACATCCATTGCAAAGCACGAGTATGTGGCCATTTTCAAGCATGGCGATGACCTGCGACAGGATCAGCTAATACTCCAAATGATTACGCTAATGGACAAACTGCTGCGACGGGAGAATCTTGATCTCAAACTGACACCGTATAAGGTGCTAGCGACAAGTTCCAAGCACGGGTTCCTTCAATATATCGACTCTTGCACCGTGGCGGAGGTGCTGGCCCGGGAGGGCAACATACTTAACTTTTTCAAGCGGCACAATCCCTGCGAGAGCGGCCCCTACGGCATATCCGCCGAAGTGATGGACACATACATCAAGAGTTGTGCGGGCTACTGTGTGATCACATATTTGCTAGGTGTGGGTGATCGGCATTTGGACAATCTGCTGTTGACGAGCACCGGCAAGCTGTTTCATATCGATTTCGGTTACATACTAGGACGCGATCCGAAGCCTATGCCCCCGCCCATGAAGCTGAGCAAGGAAATGGTCGAGGCGATGGGCGGTGTCAGCTCGGACCACTATCACGAATTCCGCAAACAGTGCTATACGGCGTATTTACATTTACGTCGGCATGCCAATGTCATGCTGAATCTGTTCTCGCTAATGGTGGATGCCACAGTGCCCGATATCGCTCTGGAGCCAGACAAGGCGGTCAAGAAAGTTGAGGAGAATCTACAATTGGGCCTATCCGACGAGGAGGCGGTTCAGCATTTGCAGAGCCTGCTGGACATATCCATAACAGCTGTGATGCCGGCGCTGGTCGAGCAGATACATCGTATCACGCAATACTGGCGCAAGTAAATGCCAGTAAATGTAATATAACTTTTTAGGTAAGTGTATTTTAATCCAAACGTAGTAGGTATAGCACATACCTACATTCTGGTGTATTATATATATATATAAATATATTATTGTGTCGTGTGTATATATATTAAGCAGCCTCTTTGTTATTGGTATGCACAATGCATAAGCGCTCCAAGAAACCCGTGTGGGTGCTTTTCAAGATTTTTGAGTTCTTGATAAGCTCCATTTCTGGCTATGTGCATTTAAACGGTCTTAAAGACGGAATTCCTCATATCTTTTTACCGTGCGCCACATTCGGAAGCGGCAGCATCATTGGCATTCTCAGCTTGGTCGGAACTTTTTTCGCCGACCAGCTTACCATGTGGTTTGAGGCCCTAACCAGCGGAACCTTGGGCACGTTGTATCTAGCTAACGTTTATGCGCACTTGTATCTGGTGCAGCATAACAAGATGTTGCCGTTTCTCAAAGATCTCGAGGAGGAAGAGGACGGCTACATACTCTGCTGCAATAGAAATGCCATTATTAGCTTGTATGCTGTTGCCATTTATTATCTGCATTGCACCTTTGCCCTGGATATTCTCCTTTTTCCTGGAAGTGGTAAGGATGTGCCGCGTAGCAAACGTCGACTTAAATTATACTTTATAAGCAAGGACGTTGAGCGTTACGTTAGCCGTTTTCGTTGGTATCAACTGCTCACCGCCAGCGTTCTGACCAAAGTCGCAGAAAGGAAGCCAACATATTTTGAAAATGTTATTCGCAGCAAGCCATCATATTTGGAACATGTTCATCGTAGCAAGCCCAGCATTTGAAACCTTTCGATATTTGCGCCATCGATAAATATTCAGATCAGCTGTTTGCCATAACAGCCCTGTCTTATTGCGCGCCCAAATTTACAGCTGTTTTGAAACCTTCGGCTTCGCGCTGTTATTGTAATCTATTTAGTTTAGTGTTTTTGGTGTGCGGAAAATATTTAGGGTTTTGGATAAAATTACAGTGTGTCGTGATTTGCAAAACTTTTATTACAACTACTACTACAACTGTGTGCTAGGACTAAATGGCAAGCGGTGCGGTAAGTGTAGTCGTTTGTTTTATTCGAGTGCGGTTTCCTAGAAATTTCTGTCTGCAAAGTTTTCTGATTTTCATAGTTCAGTTTCTATGCGTGGTGTTTTCGTGCGCCAACTTTTTGCCAAATGTGCGTGTATAGAATTGTGCTTAGTTAGTGGCAGGTACTCATATCAAAAGTTGTTGCTAAAAGTTAGCCGGGGCTACTAAAGTTTCAGGCCAAACCGCTCTGTTCTGCAGCTGCAGACACCGCAAACTCGCATCCCGCCCCCACAACTTAGCTGGCGTCCAAATAGTGCGCAGCTAGCAAACTTGGTCTGCCCGCTCTTATTGGTCACTTTCTCTACATATCCCAGTCTCTCTCTCTCTCTCTTAGCCTCAAAGAGCGGCAAACACAATTGCATTGCGAGCCATGAGTCAGCCGCAAAGCAGACGACTCTCACGTTGCCTTTTGTTATTGTTGTGCTTGGAATGCAAGCATAGCGCACGCTTGCCCTCCCCGCTCTGCATGTGCTGCCAGCCGGCTGTGCCTGCAGGCAACCTCTCGCTCTAGCACTCCTTATTGGAGCAGCACGTGTTCATTTTCATGCTAAAATGTATAGTCGTGTATGTAGGTATGCATGTTTGTACTGTTTTTTGTTGTTTCTTTATTTTTTTTGGCATACTGTTAAGGTATGCGTGAGCATTGCGTCTGAATGTGTATGATGGGCATATGTTTTAATGTATATATGCTTGTTTGTTGGATAACAAATTATCGTAACGTGCAGCTTAAAGTAAGTGCAGGGCAGACCTATGCCTAGTACATATTGATAAATACAACATATGCTCAGAGGCAGATGAGAGAGTTGATAGAAGGTGCCAATTATAATTTTAAATGTTCATATATCCTCTTGTGACGTCAGCGATGTTCGATCGTGGGAGTTGCCACTTGACATAAAAAGTGACACCCAATCAAAGTTATCGATCACCCTCAAGCTTCGATAACACATGGTGCAGTCAGCTTTTTAATCAACTAGAAGCCATCAACTTATTTTTGTGCAATTGTAATTTAAAGCCTAGCTATGATTTCTTATTTACCACATTGCACAACTTACACTGGCCTGGGTATGTATCAACCTTTAGTTTTGCAGTTATTGTCCGCGAAAAGACTCGATTCAAAATATGACGTCGTAAACCAAACTCCCTTGCCGAAGGTTCCCATAGACAACAAAAAAAAAAACAACCAATCCAAAGCGAACGCTGTGTACGTGCCGCTTATGCAGCTCCATAGATCGAGGGGGGGTAATCAGTTTACGCTGACGTTGTTCTCTGCTGCTTCTTGCATGCCCATTCTCGGAGTCACATGCACACACACACACTCACTCATAGTCATACTCGTGTTCAAATGCAACTTATGTAGCTACATCTAAGTAATTTTACTGACATACTGATATTTGTATATGTGTGCTAATATGGTGTGCGCTGTTTTTCTTTTTATTTTGGTTGTTGTTTGCTATTTCATGAACTGATACTAACACGGGTGCTACTATTTCAGTTGCTTACTAAATAGTTAGTGCCGGAGCGGGCTGACTAAGCGATCGACCCAGCGAGCGACTGTCGCGCCATATTAACCATACTGTGTCAGCCCAGTGCTGCTCGCAAACAGACACACACACACATACAGTTGCATATGCGACGTTTTTTGCATATGCCCCAATGCAAGCAGCCAAACCGCTAGACGCTCCATTTGCCAGTAACACCCTGTAATTTTGCCAAATGGGTTGTTTTGTTTAGATAGCTCTGTTGATCTGGAAAATAGAGCTCTAGGTTTGTTGTTCTGTTAAGAAGTCCCGTTAAGATATCAGAAATCTTTCTTCTTTCTTTAAGACTTCGTTTGGCCAGCATAAGGAGATGTCAGCCCAAGGGAACTGTTGTTAATAAGTACAGTTATCCCTGTGTGAATTTTTATAAAGTGAATATCTACACTTTATACAATATCTTCTACAATTGGCAATGGGCATTTTATATATGTACATATGTTTATTTCCTTTGGGCTTGCTGCAGGGTATTTTGCCGTTCAGCTTAAACGAATTTGCAGCGTTCTTATTTGTTTGTATGTGTGTCGCTGGCGTCCACAACGTGATAAAAACTTTAAACATTGAATTGTGATACTTCGTCACTTGGTTGTAAATTGAAATAAGACCCGTATGCCGCCGTCAGCTGCAGCGTCCCGCTCGCCGTTGCTTGCCGTTGCTGCTACTGCTGCGTCCCGGATCGGACCCGGCTCCCGCTACGTCTCCGGCTGGCGTTGCAACACAGTTAAGCGTGAAACGAGAACTAAATAAAGCACAGAACAAACGAAAATAAAAAAAACAAAAATTCTATTGCGATTGTCAGCAAATTTTCTTCAAATGCAAAAACAAAAACTTCAAATAAATAAGAAAACAAGCAAAGAAAAAGAAAAGAGAAAAGCAAAAAGCAAAAAGCAAAAGCCGCAGCTCGACTTTTGTTTATGCACTTTGTTTAGCCAAGTTTTCGGTTGCTTCGCTTTATGTTTTAGTATTTTTGTTTTGTTTTTGTTTTTTTACAGTTAGTTGCTTTTTCCATTTTGTTTTAGATATGTAAGTGTATATTTATTATTATTTATGTATGCGAATCGCTCGTTGCTCCGATGATTCCGCTGCCGCTGCCGCTGCTCGCTCTCTCTCCAGCGCTCGGTATCAGAATCTCTGTTGCTGTTTCGGTCTCTGTCCGTGTCTGCGTCTACGTTCACGTGCCCCCCTCGCCCATCCTCGTCCGCTGCTCGGAGTCGGGAGCCGGGGCCAGTTCTGGCGCATTCAGTGCAGTTTTGGCCGCCTCTGGTTAGGTTGTCCTAGCGCGCAATTTTCTTTTAGTTCTCCATCCCGCCAAGCATTGCCGGTGGTTTCTTTCGGTGAGCGCATTTCGCACGTGTTTGTTTATTTTTATTGCTCTATTTCGACTCGAAGCTCTGTTCTGCTGTTGTGCTCCGACGTTCCGATTGTTATCTATTGTGATGCGTTCTCGGCCCTTGGAAGCATTCTATTTGGCTTGACTCATAAATGCATCCAGTTGGTGCAACATTTCGATATATGAAATAAACGTGCAACAAACGGCTATATAATTGCTGGCTGAATTTCTTCTAGCGATTATTTGTTTACATGGTGAGTTTGTGTTGAGAAAACATGTTTAATTCAAATGTTTAATAACTATAATCGAATTTCAGTGTTGGGTAATTTCAAAAGATGAATTTAGTTACTTTCTTTCCGGGACTCTAGCTAAGTCTTGAAAAGTTTATTATCTAAAACTTAAGGCATACAACTTATAATCTAAAACTAATATATATTCCATAAAGTTCTGTTTAAAGTTTTTTTTCTTTTATTGCCTTCATATCATTTTGTTTATTTGTACTCTTAAAAGTATGCTATGTGAATTTAAGATATTTATCTCAAGTTCCTTTGAAAGCATTTGAATTTATGAATTATTATTAGTTTGGCTATAAATAAATGAATATATATTCATTTAATATCGGGGATTGAGAGCGACAAACAAAAAGAAAGTCGACTGTTGGAAAAGAATTAGAAAGAGGCATGATAAATATGGAAAGTGATCTTAAACTTGGATTGAAGTTAATATGTGTACAATATAATAGGATTTTACATTTTTAAAAGGGGGTTGAATCAGAAAAATCGAAATAGAAAGCATTAGAGAGAAAATCCTCGAAATTTTAGAAATTTATATATATTGAGTATCTTAAAACACTTTATAGTTTTAAGAGTACCATAAAGAAAATGCTTTACATTGCTAAGACGTGCCATAAAAAATCCGCATATACTCGTATATATTCTACAGTCGTATTCTCTTTAGCCATTTGCAAAATCTAATTCTTTCAAATCAGAGTCTTGGAAATGTTTTATAGTGGCAATATTACCGTTAAGGCAGCGTTCAAGTTTTATGGGTCTTGAGTCACACGCTGCCATCAATGTAGTCATAGTCTCTGTTGTATTTGGTCACATTATCTGATAAACCAAACCAAAC